TGAAAGGTCATTTACAATAAAGTATTTTTTTATATTCTCCCAGCGATATACAGAAAATCCGCATTGGCTTCATTTTATGTTCTCGTGTTTAGCCACAGATGGCATCAGTGTCTAGAATACGTTCTTCATAAAAACCGAAAATTATAGTCATGTATCACGAAAATTATATGAGGAAATTGGGAGAAGTTGAAAAAAGAAATTACCTTCAAACATTATTAGGTCTTTCCATGCCGAAATATTTTAAGATTTATCAGTCAGTATAGTGACTGGCTACGGACTGAACGACCGGGGTTCGATCCCTGATGGGGCAGAGGATTTTTCTTCTAGCCTCTGCGTCCAGTCCGGCTCAGGGGCCCACCCAGCCTCCGATCAAATGGGTACAGGGGTTAATTCCCAGGGGTAAAGCGTGGGCCGGTGATTTCGCTGACTCCCACCTAATGCCGAGGTTAAGAATGAGTAGGAGCTATACCGTCTCTCCCCCCAAGCGCCTACATGGCTTTACTTTTACTTTCGCACTATAACAGGCCTAACCTATAACATTACACAAGGTTAGAAGTAATTTTCTTGCGTATTTAACTAAACACTTATGATATTGGAAAATGTTTCAATTCGGTGACGAGAGAACCCCAAGTTTCAAATCAATTCTGATCGTAATAACGATAGCCTATCTATATATTTTGTCAGCAACCAAGCCTTTTACGATACCCCGTGTCTGAGAAAATCGAGAAAGTGCTATTGACATTTTGCAAATTAGGTACTATATTTGACCGATATGGACCAAAGTTAAATTCGCCGGACAAATTCAGTAGACACTCCGAGTTCCACATTTAATGAAAATTCATTCAGTAGTTTCAGATGATACATTCGGACAGACACGACCTCCATAAAGAAAGCATAAAAAGAGTTTTCGGGAGAAAGCTTTTGTTTTTTTTAATTGGGATGAGGTATGACTGACACTATTTGTTACCCTCACTTCTGACGCCATATTTGTTTGTTTTGTTGTTTTTGTTGTTTGTTGAAAGCATGGGGGAAAAGGATAGTGCGATATACATGCCAGATTTAGGGGCATTCTGTAAATGATAGATAATTGAGAAGTCATTAATTTCTCGTTTAGTAAGCAGGAGACATTGAGAAGTGAGATTTGTTGTTTTCGTCCCTACAAACAGCCAAGCGGTCACTGAAAACAATAATAAAGGCACGAGAGTTACTTGTATAGAACTGATACTGTATTATTTCATTCCTCTGCCATGTATGATACTTCGTGGGGAAAACCAAATTACTTGAAGAACCTATCATGCCCATTTTACTTCAAATTATTTTGTGCAGCGGTAAAAAAATAGGGCTTCGATCATGGCCGTCTTCTGCGATGAGCCATGGCCCTGATGATGGAGACAGCAAACACCTCTGAAACGTCGGTACACAGCACAACAACCTAGAAGACAGCCATCTTCATACTGAGAACCTGAAATCTCACTTTACAAGGCCTCCAGCTCCACTTTCGAGGCTCAAGATGTCAAAATGTTCTCAGAAACTCTGGTTTCTACCTAAGAGTCGACAGGCCGTTACAACCCAGCAGACAAACATCAGCACCAGCGTATGTTACTGATCCCATAACATTACGATGTAAACAAATCAATCGGAATACATTCGCCTTGTGTATCTCTTTAACTTAAGCGACAGAACTGCAGAGTCTTGGCCGCAGATCTGTTGATTTCAACATGGAAAAGGTCTAGGAAGCTGAGCGACCTTGCCCAAGGCTGCAGCAACTAGCAGGATATGACGTCTGTTGGAGGAGGAAGACAAACTGGGCTTCGACTGCACTCGGCCCCTACACAGTTTTTCACAATAGAATCACGCTGGCAGGAGTACCAACGATACAAGGGCACCGCTCGGGCATTTAAAAAATCCAAGCGAGACGACGCACTTGGAAAGAGGAACTCCGGGCTAACATGAACGCTTCCAGGTACCCACGAGGTCGTCGCTTTATCAACTGCTCAGTAATGTAGCGTCAAATGACAAGATGGTGGGTGAACTACGAACTGAAAAGCTCGTGCAGCGAAATGTAATCGCGGTCAGTTTTTAAAATATCATTCCAGAATTTAAAGGACTAAGAAAAGCTTTATTTTAAGGATAAAGATTTGCACTTTATCATTTGCATTGGTTGTAGTGTCCAAAGGGAAGATGATTGTAAATAATCAGCTGAGAAGTACGTGGAAATGGTCGTCGGATATTTTAATATGTTATCCCGGGATCTGTCTGGATGGACCACAGACATAACCACAAAGCCGGTCTCCAGGTTGAGAACTTAACGCGGCACTTTGCTAATACAAATCAAGAGACTACACTGGTTGGAATTTCTGAAAGAAGAAAAAATATTATTAATGGATATCATCACCCACGACCTGTAGTCTCTCCTGTTTCTGGTTTTCACAAACATGTACAATTCTGCGACATATGGCGGCGGATGTTTTAACCCTTTAAAACCGAGTAACTATTCGTTTTGTATAATTCTCAGTTTAAAAAGGGAGTATTTCCTTAAACAGCATTAACAACATTATATTTCCATGGTGAAGTGTGTCGTGTTTCCTTTGGGATACGGACTGGGTTTTAAATATTATTTAGAAGAATTTCGGTATTTCAAAGGGTTCACAATCAGCCTTTCTAAATGCTTTGTAAAAGCAGACTCGGGTTTTCTAAAGTTTTCATGATGCTACCGCGGACCTCAATTTCTAGTTACATATCTTTCATATTTTTTTTTTTACCAAAGCTTGTACTACTTTTATGAACGCACGACACAGGATGCAATGTTGCTGCCAATCATTTAAGGATTTGTACTGATAAAAATTTTCCTTTTTCTTTGGCGATACAGCCCCTGTTCTGACCATAGACTCCTCTAAAGCAGAGATTCAACAGTGATCACTAGCAGATACGTTGTTTCATTTTTCGCTGGCAATTGTTATCTGGAATTCTTGAGATGACTGTACAACAAACCCCGCCCTCTGAGGTGCCCCAACCGAACGACCTTCACATCCGACTGCTGCTGGATCACCAACCATAACAAAATACGAAGACTACAGCCCGGGCTTTCTCATTGCACAATCCGTTGGAAAGCAACACCTGCCTCCTGAGACCTTCGTCTCATTTCTGGCATGCGCACATGCGAATAGACAGGATTCCATAATGGCAGAACACCGGTTTCGGACTTTACGGACCTTCTGACCTAAAACATCTTTAATTAATTTGGGCCGGAAAGCATCACATATAAATTCCGTAATAATGTAATTACAGTATATACTGGAACATAGCTAGATAAGGGATTGGCCCACGTTAGATTCCTGGCATTTTGTAGCTATTGTTAACCATTGCACAGGTTTTACGAGCTAAATAAAAGCTCCTAAAAAACTTAATATGGATATCTTGGACATGTGAATATCCACGAATGTGCATGTTAGGAAATAAGGCAGATGAAGTAGACGTGAACTATCGATACCGAAATTAAAATGAATATGTACCAATTACTGGTCCACGATAACATTATAAGGAATTTAAAAAAAAAAAAAAACTGGTTATCATCTGAAAACATTAATTTAACTGCAGGTTAAACCTAGCACGAATGTATAGAGTTTATTAGGGCCTAAATACAAGAAACTACCGACATAATCAAAATACTGGTAAATTGTTCGTTGTACGATCTTCTTTAACGGAATGCGAAGATTCGCTACTGGTACTGTGTTCGCAAGAGTCCATGTACCCTATCCTTAGCAAAACTGTTCACGAGTCACCAAATTGTGTTGTCATTAACTTGTAGCTGAAAGAAGTCATCACAAGTTAATCCTATAGGCTAATATCGTACAGAAATGGTCGGTTTTGCAACTACGCGGCTCACTTTTTGGGAGACTTGAACATACCCGATGGCAACACCAAAAGATCTCTTCACATGCGAAACAAGGCTTCTCTGCAGACCGAGGTGTAACAAATCTAGGAGTGCTTTCGACCTTGAAAAAGCATGCCTAATATTTCTGTTAGCTTTCTGAAATTCTTACCCACTTTCCATAACACGAACCGAAATAACAAGGCTTCCTTTCACCATTCACCAAAGTGCTACTGGTGCACCCTCTAACACGTCCTTGCCAATGAGGGGGAGGGGTACGCCACGATCGATACACGCGACAGATGCAGAAGAAAAGGCAGGAATCGGGGACTGTTTCCTCATAGGCTCAGTGCTACAAACGCGGTTACATCCGTCAGCAATGTTTTTTATTCAGGTTCAGAAGCCAATGAGTGTTCGCTGGGAGCGCTGTTTTCTTCGTCTTATATCCTTAAAACTATTTTATACCAATAACAATTAAGACTGAGCAACTTTTTCACAAAACACTCTTTATGCTTACGTTTGATTTTACTTTCAAACTGTTAAATGAATAAACCCTTCTGTTCCTTTATGTAACCTAAAGGTTCATAACTGATCACGAGAGTTCGCTACTGAACCCTATCCTGTGACAGTTAAATCTAGTCCACATCCTAACGCCCTGTTTATTTACTATTCAGTTACTGTTATCAACCCATCTACGCCCATCCACCAAATGAGGTTTTCCAAATTAAATATTGGTGCAATTCTCAGTTTCCCCGTGGCGAGGGACAAAACACGAAGTTCCTCCACGTAATTGTCTCCATCAGTCCATCGTGTGACTTTCCCTTTCTCAACAATTTGTTCTCAAAATCTGTTGTTCCCTTTGAAAGCCCAAGTTTCAAAGCCTGATAAACAACAGCTAAAAGTGTGTATTTTAACCTTCGGATCTCTTTACATGAGACTGGACGTGAAAAGATGCATAGAGAAGGGTCGGCTCCATGCCTAACCTCTGAAATTGAACGACCATCCACAAGCGTGACTTGTTTTTCAAATATTAGCAGCTACTCTCCAAACCTCTCTTCCATTTGCTGTCTCAGAACGCGTAATACTACGGTGATACTGGGCCCACTTCTGTGTGTCAAGGTCAGGTTCACGCGACGGCCGCCTTGTCCATTTTACTTACTGGACAACAGGATCAGTGAAGTTCTATATCCGGGCGTGACGTAGTGGCGAGTACCCGGCAAAGCCAGAATTAGAACCCGGTCTTCTAACGTGTAATCTGCCATATAGCAGGGGCTATGCCGGCTCAATAGATACAGCACGTCACAATAGGCTAGTAACAGCACACAGCAGATGGGCGCGGTAGTGCCCACATCGCCTAACATGGTACAAGGTTACATACAGAACGGGGTTCTTCCCTGACCTCTTGGACCTCTCACGTCCTCCACCTTTACGTTTTTGCATCGAAAAACGAAGCAAGAGTTGCAATACTGAAGGATGTAACATTCGTACACCGAGCCTTTGCAGGCGGACAAATTGGAAGGCCGTTATTTCTCGCGTGTTGGCGTTTGATATCATTACGCCCCAGCCTCTATCTGCCCGTAACTTTTCATTCTGTGAAAGGATTTTCGTAAATTTGATCCTTTATGAAAGAAACTGAAGAAATACATAGCAGACCCTGTTTAGATCTACTCTATTCATACAGTTACTAAATCAAGATGGTCTGATGGGTGGAGTGTATAGCACACATGTATAAAGCAGTAAGTTAGGTCTGTATGCGATATGTTAGTTGAATAACGTATAAGAAAAGAATATCTGGAAGAACTAGGTGTAGATGGGATGGTAATAATACAAGGGATCGTGCAACACATGGACAAGGCAGTTGATTGAAGACGAGGCACACCTTCGGAATTTTATTTAAAAGCCCACTAACCTTTCGGTTGTTGGAACACGCAGCCTACATTTCTATCCAGCTGAATAGCTATAATAATTATAAACTATTCGTATCAGTTATCCTCATTGCTTAATACGTTTCCGCGGGACCCTCATACTTTGCTCTGCGTAATAATATTTCTTTATAGCTGTTTTATCAAACACTGACGCACAAGAACGACAATAAGTTAAACAAACATGAGATAGGGGAAGGAAATGGACAGTCACCGGATGGACTGAGGGCGGACTACACCTACATGATGAATGGATTTGTGCATGTGACGTCATCCGTTTTCTCCCTACAACTTAATACCTTGAACCAGTAAGATAATTTTAATCTCTTAATCTTCAAATATGAGGTTGCGAAATGAAGCAAATTGTTATTCCTATTTTTCAGTGTGAAATGAGAACTGGTGAACAGATAATTCGCACTGACTGGTGGCAGAATACGAAGGTTCAACACTGCTAGTAACAAATGTAGCCATTTCACATAATCTCATGTCAGTCAGTTCTATCAGCAGTTCTATCAGCCTGTTATCCACACAATCTACTTCTCATCTTTGGATTAAGTGGTTGAAAAATTATTTAATTTGTTCATTCATTCCTACAGTCATCTGTTCAGCCACCATCCGTGTTTAGAGGAGTTCACTTCACCTGACGATGGTTGAGTAACAGCAGCTTCCCACAGTTAGGTCTGTATTGGACATTCTCGATTGTTTGAAGTAAATTTAATATTTACGCCAGACACGGTCAACGTTTAAGAGGACCCGGATCGCATCTAGTTTTCTCATCACGGCCTCGGATCGTGGACAGTGTCCAACACGGGTTAATTGTGATGTAACGAATCACGCCTTGGTATAAATCCTTATAAGAATACTTAGCTTCCACATTAATTCATTGCGTACGACTTTTCTTCAGTTTATAAGTCATCCACAAACAGGATTTAACAAATATGGCTGTCTTCTGGGCTGTAGCGCCGTGTTGTCTGGTAGAAGTTTATCAACCTTTCAGAGGGCGATAGCCCTGATAATGGAGGCAGCAAGGACCAAGGATATTCGTACTCACCGCCGTGATAACCTCAGATGCTACTTAGGATTTAACAAAAGCATCAAGCGAACAAAACGAACAAGTGCCATCAGAAAATGAGTCGGAGAAATGCTGTTCACGGACGCCAAATGTCTGCAGTACCACAAAACAAAATCAGTCCAGGAATTCTGGGGCGAACATTAACCCCTAATCAAAATAATCTGTGATGCTGAGCTCAGTACATTGGAACATGAAGTCATGACATGTCTAATTGCATCTGAAGACAGGAATACTTCCACAAGACGCGAAAGTGAAAGCCACAGATCCATGCTTTCTGATAACACAGTGCAGCAATCTTGATACATCTTGCAGTAGGCAATATTCAGATCGTGCACAGTATTTAAGCTTATGGAGTTCTATGTCTGCATCTAATAAAAATGGAAGTATACCCGAAGAAGTGTCGATTTCAGGTTTTCACAGCGGCGAGTATGAAATAACTGTCTTTTAGGTTGTTGCACTCGCAGAAACAGACCGACTTTCAAAATATGATTATTGCGTCCATTATCAGGGCGATGATTCATCGACAGATTACATGGCAATAACCCAGAAGACAGTCATCTTAAAAGTCAATTAGCTTTTAAACCGTTTCAGAATAACTCATTCATGCCTCCCTTCATTTGGGCATGAGCATGGTTGTTATACGCGTTCAAATAGGCTAGTCATGGCAGAGATGAATGAAAAGTTTTGGTTGGAAACCCTAGAAGTAAGAGACAAAGACCTACGTGTAGATGGGAGGATAATATTAAGTTGTATTAAAAGAGCATGTTATGGGTTGGACTGGATTTATGCGACTCAGGGCAAGATCCAATAGCGTGATCGTATGAAAACGGCAACGAACTTTGGGTTCAGTAAAAGGCAGAGAAGTTATTGGTCATATGAGCGACTATTAGCTTCTCAAGGAGTCTGCTCAGTGGAGCTTGATGCGTTTTACTCCATAAGTACAGTACGAATGCGAACAAACCTGGATGACTAAGTATGTGAAACAAATGTTTGGCTCCTCCTTTGCTCGAACACGCCTGAAACAAGCAGAGAAAACAGCATTAAACAAAAGGTCTGCAAAATAATAAAAATTAACATTTATACATGAACTCATGCGGTCTATTTTACCTTCAAATATTCCACCCCATATGATGAGGCTAACATTGACAACTACAATATTCTATCAATTTATGCGCACAGATTCCACTGCGGCATATTCAAACCATGTCCAATTTGTCAGTTAGGCCTGTCACCTAAAATTATCGCAATGTCACCATGTATACGTGGGCTTCTCCAGCAGAATGCCACGTGCTCTAGTGACTCATTAGTTATCGCCATCAAGGCAGACTTGAATGTACATTTCGCAATGACGCCATGCTGTTACACAATCTACGAAGAACTTAACGTAACGGAAGTTTCAAGACTCTAATAAGTTGCGTTAATTTTGCTCCTTATCGAAATTTACCGCAGCTGCAATGTTAGTATCACCAATGGCGAGAAATTACAACATAGGGTTGGTCCCAAATGTGGTGATACCCTAATCCATGAGGTAAAATTTGCTGTCCGCGAGCCACATTCGGCTTGACACCACTTGTAACTAGGTCAGCGAAATTACTTGTTAATTTGTTACTGTTTCTTCAAACTCACCTAGTTTCTTTTCTCCGAAGAATCTGAAAAATATCGTGGTTCTTATCTTGTCTGCTGCTTTACGTTTAAGCAACAAACATGCTGTTTACTTTAAAACCCCACCGTATAATATAAGTTTTCCAGGTAAAAACTGTGTCAGATACGACAAGAGTTACAAGATGGTGCAGGAGAAAATTTAAAATAATACGTAACTCTATTGTTATCTGAATTCAATTCAATAAAATTTTTATTACAGTATATACACTATGAAAATTTGTTATTATGAATAAGTATCGTCAAAGATGGCGAGAATTGCCAATTAGTTTTCAAAAACAGTGCCAGGAAGGGCTTCTTGGTCCTTGGGTCCAACGGGAAAACTATAGTGGGTCGAGGGAAGAAATAATTGGGTCACTCCTGTCTAATCACTGATTAATTCCTTACATGCTTCATAACAGGAGTGGAATTTTAAACACATTTAGTAAATAGCGTTATTGTGACACTCTGTGTACGGAAGTACTGCGATCTTAAAGGAATGAACATCGAAGTTCAGACCAACGCTTAACAAAGTTAAAGGTTAATAATGTTCAGGAGTTATGTTCAGTTGGTGAACATTTCGAATGTATGCATAATCGCAGTGGGTATGAATGTACGTAATATATTGCACTGTACCGTAAATACAGTTATATTAGCAGCAGCTGGAACTGGTCTTCATAACCAGACTAGTCTCCAGTCCGACCTCTGGGTGGGGCTTCTTCGGTGCGCGAATTACAATACCAGCTACTGATGACCCTAGCGATAATTATGAAGAAGATGCACATCACGAGTAGAGATAGCGTCGAAGTTCATTAATTCGTGACGCTGAAATTTATTTGCTTGATATACTTATTTTATTATTCCTTTCCATGTTAGTTTTTAAATAAGCCTCCTTCATCATCGCCCTGATGATGGAGGCAGCACCGCAGAAACGTCGATAAACTTTTATCAGACTACACGATGTAGCATCTCAGAAGACAGCCATGTCATACTCGCCGCTGTGAAAACCTGAAATCGAAACTTCTCAGGTATATTTCCATTGTTGTTAGGTGCAGACATCGAAAGTCGCAGCTGGGTAGTCTGAAATTATATGTTGTATCTTGAAGATCCTGGTTCGATTCTTGATCCAAGGCGTCAACGGATATAGAGGCGCTTTTCATTTCGACACGAAACGTGCCTAAAAGCAATTTAATGCTATGATGCGTGTGTGGTTAGGTTTTATATTTTGGAGTGGATTTATTATTTGAACCAAATAGGCGCACTTTGTAAGTAATAAAATCTCTGATGACGGAACCCGAAGGTTCAATAGCGTTAATACCACAACACGCCACTGGAAACTGCCCCCAACCATTTCCGTTTAATTCCCACTGTAGTTGGGCAAGTCCGTGGATCAAGCCCAGACTTATTTTCATAAGATAGAATCTACACGCCCAAAATGGAGAGCAGATTCAAAATTGAGGTTACATAAACCGACTACGGTTAGCAATCGAGGTTGATGGAAATTTCCACTGAGGGTGCCTTTGTTCGCCTCATCCCCTAGTAGAACGTTTGTCTTCTTGGAATGTTACAGAATTACGAAATTGCCACCCTCATCTTTTGCCAGCCAATGGGAGTTACTGTCCCAGTTTAAACTAGTCAGTGACACAGCGGACGCACTTCCACATCGCTTGGAAGAAGTTCAGAATATAAAAATTCAACCTAAATTTCCCAATAAGTTTTTAAATATTTAACTTCGATTGTGCGTCGTATCATAACATTTTATCGAAATTTATCTTACAATGACAGTCCAACCTTTGGTGTAGATCTTCATGTTGTGAACTTTAAAGACGCTGTTCGTGTATTTAAAACTGCCACGTTACTACAAATAATAATCAACATTATAAAGCCATCAAACCTGTACACTGCATTCTGTATCCCTGATAAGACCTCATGCGCCAACTGCTCACTAACCAAACCCGAATTCACACCCGTCAGTCTTGCAAACGACAACTCTTCGACGGTATTAAGGACGTTCATGTAGATCTGTTTATCTAAGATTTGGCCTAATGTTATCCTCCAATATCCTTATTTGCCTTTCTAATGCCCGGTTTGCAATAAGTTTCCGCACCAACATTTTTTATGCATTTCTTATCTCCTTCTTACCTGCTGCATGTCTAGCTCGATCTCACCGAGGTAGCGCACTTTGTTACAGCGAAGACGATTAAAATATAATGATCCAATCGTACATGCACTGAACGCGGAGTCTTGTTTTGGTCATGACCTATTATTCACGTCTCCGCATAAGGTATGGTAATACCTCTGTTTAACAAAAAGCGTGCATATAGGCTTATAGAGAGGACTCCCCCCCATCCCCCATCCCACTTGCCCTTAAAGGGCACACTTCCAAGGAGAACATGATCTGGCATTCTGACCGGCTGATACAGACACTTCGCTTCCCATCATATCTCATGCAACAGTCTATCATTATCAACGATCTTAAATTCCACATATGAAAAATGGCGTATTTTCATATATTTCCTTCAACGTGGTTAAGGTCATACCGAATTTATGAGATGAAATTATTTACATATTTGTAAGTCTATACACACTGCAGTTTTCTTTTGTTATTGAGCACTTAATATTATTTAGCGTATTTACGTTACACTATAAGATAAGATAGGTCACGTCATCCTATCCGTGTCTCTGCTCTGGTAACGGAAAGGAAACAAAACTGAAAATGTCTACTACTCAGTAGAAATTTCTCGGGCTACAACGTTATTTTTACTTTAAAAACACAAGTAGGCTGTGTTAAACAGAAACATATGTGAAACGTAAATACTTTCAGCTCTATCTTGGGATTCTGTTGTACGCAAATTTTGTTGTGCTCTGAAATTCCCAGTCTAAAATAGGTCCTATAGGTTGTAGAATTTAATTTCCAATTAAATGAATTTCACAACAAAGACAAAGCATATTAAAATGTTGCAATTTTAGGCAAATGATTACGTTCTTAAATAAGCCGAGTTGCTTTATGCGGTTACCTAATGGACCTCATACTGAATTTGAGTATCATCTAAACTTTGTTTCCATGGTCTGGTCTTAGGAAGATATTTTCTCCTTCTGCGCCTCATGGATCAGAGGAGGCCCGAGGTTAGCGACCTCTTCTATGTTCAAGTATACGACGAAATGATTGTTGTAATAGGAAGTTTCCTATAAAGCTGTAACTTTCATTTACAGTTTTACACCAGTGCTGATCAATCGTGGTCTGCTGAACGCTGCCGGCCTGTAAATTCTACTGTAATTAGGTTGACACTAAACGCCCTGTTTCACAACAGCTGAAAAATCCTATTTTACAACCAGCATCCTCATTCTGAGTCCGTTTCCTTTTAATTTCCAAATGGTTTGTGATGAATGATACCACATTCTTTGCACAAAGTCTCGCCAGGCACGTCATTATAACTCCGTTATATAACAACGGAAAATTTCTGACAACTTTGTTATTTATACGGGTTCTCGTTTTACTTTTAATTTCGAAAGTTCTGTTTTCAAACGTTCAATCACATTTCCAGTTATGGCGAGAAGTCTGGATTCATATCATCTACTGCATTTACAAATTTAAAACACATTGACCTCTCATCAATTTTTAAATACACAATCCTTCTCGCTACTTCCATTATCTAAAAATGTAGCGTGACAAAATGATAATCTATGGCTCAACGTGTCAGTGGTAAAGGAAGGCCACCTTTAGTTCAGTGTAACACAATAAAGTAGTGTGAGCTGGATACATGTCATGCCGTTAAGGTGGGCAGCCTGAGAAACTTTTATAATTGACAGATTATAAAACTTACTACTGCTTTAAAAAGCAGCTGTGAAGGTAAACAGTACAGTTACTTTATAATTAAGAGGTTTTATTTGGCGAATTTACATGCACAGGTTTTCTTTCATATTTATTATTCAGCAAGGATGTAAACTGGTTTTAAAAGCTTAGTAAGCCGAAGTATGCAAGCAAAAATTTTACGTACAAACCACCTTATACGAGGTGCGATCGGAAAGTTTCAAGACTGTGTCAATAGCGGGCGAACCGGATGTAGTACGAGCTTCTGCCGCTAAGGGGTGCGGCCTACATTCATAGTGAATCAGTGTGCCAGCCGGCATCATCGAATTAGCATTTGTTTCTTAGTTACGGGCGTTTTGGTAGTGCATTACACCGACCCTCCTGCGATTTCGGAATGGCGGATTTTCATGAACAAA